GGAATTTCTTAAAGTGCTAAATTGTTTTTATATTTGTATATATCCAATATTAGTGTCATATGAAAGATAATAAAAAACTATGAATTTCGATATATTTTTTTGTAACAATCGGAGTTTAAATATAAAAGTTATACCACTTTTTTTAAAATGGAGGTTTATTTATTTTGCTTGGCCCCACTAATACTCATCTCCTCCTTTGTCAAGCGGAGCATGCTTCTTCCGTTGTCCAATTGGATTGACAGTTTAGTTAACCCCAGTTTGATGAGCAGCATTTTGGTAAAATGTTTTAACTCAAGAGTCAATTCCCTAAATAGGACTAAAAAGTGGCAAAATTGCACAAATAGGACTACATTTTTTAAATTCCCTTAATAGGACTATTTATGTGTATTTGGACAAATATACCCTTGTAACTTGTAAAATGTTTTAATTAATAATAAAATCATAAAAAAATTTATAAAAATCGAAAAAAATACTAAAAATCGTAAAAAAATAAAAGAAAATTAATAAAAAATATTTTTAAAAAAAATAAAAAAATTATTTTTTTTAAAAAAATAAAAAAAATAAAAAAAAAACATAAAATTAAAAAAAAAAACATTACCACCCTTGCCACCCCCCAGCACCACCAACTCCCATCACCGGAGAAAAATATGCCAACATTTTAAATAATGCCATAATGATGGCATATTCAATGAAAATGTTGGCATATTGAAGAGTAATTATGCCATCTTTTTGGCATTTTCAGAAAAATATGACATTTTTTACCAAAAGTGGAAGAAATTTCACCAATCGGAGGTGGTGGTGCTGGGAGGCGGCGGGAGGCGGTGGGAAAGGTATCCATATTTTTTTTCATTTTTTATGGGTTTTTACTATTTTTTATTATTTTTTTTAAAAAATTAAAAAAATATAAAATTAATTTTTTTATTTTATAAATGTTTTATAAATATTTTATAATTTTTTTACGTTTTTAAAATATTTTTTACGTTTTTTATGATTTTATTATGAATTAAAGCATTTCATTATGAATTAATACTCTTAGGGGTATTTAGGGTAGAAAATCAATGTTTAGTCCTATTTAGGGAATTTTAAAAGTAATAGTCCTATTTGTGCTTTTTAGGAACTCATTAGTCCTATTTAGAACAATTTCCGTTAACTCAACATCAATTTTGTATATATTTTATTATTCAACATTATTTTAGTAAAAAACTCGAAAAAAGGTACATATATATCCCTGTAATATAGGTGGATGAATAAATATACCTCTGTTTTATTTTTCGGAACAAATATACCATTGAACTTTAAAAAAGGTGCAAAAATATTCCTCATATATATTTTTATAATGGAGCAAATTAATCCTTATTGACTTTACATTAATAAAGTAAATTTTAAAAAAGACCAAAAATAAATTAAAATATCTAAAATAAAAAATAAAACATTTTAAAAATGTAATTGTGTCCAATTCTCCCTTTATTGTTTGTATATCACAATTTAATATTATTAGTATAAAATATTATTTCAAAATATGTAATTTTATAGTGCAAAGAATGCAAAAAAAATAATTTTTCTTTACATTGTGAAACATATGTTAGCACCTTTTCGAAAGAATCTTAAACATATAGTAAAATTTTGAAATAATATTTCACACTTAAACAATATTAAATTGTGATATAAAAACTATAAAAGAGAGAATTTAACACCATTACATTTTTAATTTTTTTTGTTTTTTAATTACGAATTTATAAATTATATTTGGTGTTTTTTTAAATTTATTTTATTAATTTAAAGTCAATAAGGATTAAGTTGTCCCTTTATAAGAACATGAGGGATATTTGTGCACATTTTTAAAAGTTCAGGGGTATATTTGTTCCGAAAAAAAGAAATTTGGAATAGGACGAGAGATAGACAACTATGACAAGCTCAATCCACTCGATCAAGAAGGATATAAATTTGGACTTGGGCCGGTGTTAATCTAGGGCTTTCCCACATGGAGATTAAATAGTCTCAAAGATCAAAATTTTAATTTATGAAATTATGTACGACGAGTAACGAGTTTATTGGTTTTTGAGTTAGTTTTTTCTCGACACCGGTTTTTGGTGGGTTAGTGGTTGTTTTGGAGTAAATAAAGAAAAGTTATGTTGTGAAAAGTAAGATTGAATTCCAATCATTACATTCAATGATTTGCACAATCGATTTGCATTGTAAATGATTATGAAAAGAGATGACAAGTAGTATCCATTTGCACGCAAGTCCATACCGACATGAATAATAATCCCTCCCATTCTTAATTAAGTAAATTTATTGACTCCACTGTTCTGACACTATTTAACACTGTATTGCATTGTTTTGACGCTGTTTTGCACTGTTGGTGTAGATTTGTTTGCCAAATAAGAAAGTAGGAACTTGCTTGAGACTTTCAAAAAAGGAAAGTAAAAACTTAACTAAGAACCGGCGGGAGTGATATTTTGAAGAGTTTCGTATATTTTGAAGTGTTATCATACATTGATAGAAGCTTCATCCATGAGTTTTTTTTTTCTTTTCCCATTTCCAAGCCTGCTTGGACCCCTCCAAAATGAAGCTCGAATAGACCAATTCCAATCATTTAAACGAGCTATAATCCAGAACAACCATGCTTGTTGTACCCATAACTTTGTATCCACCTTATACTCACCTCTGTGAAGGTTATTTTTTTGTCTGTGAAGCGGGTACACAGACAAAATATGTCTTTGGATTCATTCACAGACATATTTTGTCTGTGAAGGAATTCACAGACAAAAAAAATAACTTCACAAACATGAGTGGATATAAAAGTTGGTATGAAAGTGGGTACAAACATCATTTTCCAATCCAGAACTAGTACTTTTGTAGCCGGCCAGAGTCAGGTGGGAATGGAATCCTTCTTGGCTAGGGAGGCTGAAAGCACTGCTATCCAGTAGGAGTTGAATTGTTAGCTTATTTAAATCCGATTTCCACGTTTTAGTACTACGTACAAGTATTTTGTAATTATAGTTATCAACAAAGCATCATATTTTGGCACAAAAGAATTACTACCCCTCCGTCCCAAGTAAAGATTACCATCCACTTTCCTCTTATGAAAGTACTAGTTTTTTGACGCGCGTTGCGCGTGAGAGACAATGCCCAATACCATTCACAATACAAGTGTGAATCTAAGAAGAACATCCACTCTTTCAAACGATATGATATGCATATTAGAACGACAATGATTATGTTTCTAAGAAGTTAAGAGATTAAGAAGTTTGATTATAACTTGTGTGATAAGGAGAGTGGATGCAAGGATTGGGCGCTCTTTTAAAATGGTAGTTATTATCTTCTATTAAACACAGGGTACAAGCAGAATTGGACGCTCTTTTTAGGGTGATGAAAGGATATTCACGTATACATTAATCCCTTATGATCAGCAATGCCGTGAAATTGAAATTCTTCTTTTATAAACATCTCCACAATAACTACCAAATCTGATTTAGGTCTAGTTTGCTTGAAGTACAGAACCGAATCGACCTTCACCCAACATACTATTATGTTAGACATTTCTTGTAGTTGTTAGAAGTTCATTTAAGTGTTGAGGACCACAAATATAATTGTCATTCCTATGTATCATTTCTATATTGCTGTTCTTGTGATTACTATAAAACCAACTTATATATTGGAGTAGGAGTCATACTCCTTATATAAAAAAATGAACTGGTCCACTTTTTTAATATTTGATTTACTAATTAGCTTGAGAGAAAAACACTGAACATTTGCGGCCCAAGAAAAGTAAAAAAGATCTACCAAACATTGTATAGACGATGTATGATGAACATTTTGATAAATAACGATGTTTTTATTGGGACCGATTGCATCCCCAACCAAACCAAAACAAACCATATCAGATTTAATCAGAGCAGTCCAGACTTAAACCGATCAGATCAGACCGGGCTTCGATCGTTATAAAATACACATAGGCCATGCATGAGAATTCATCAAACCAGACCAGACTTAAACATAGTTGATCATACCGGATCAAACCTAACCAGGTCAGAAAATTACAATTCAAGTAAAAACTCCCTAATAGCCTAAAAAATAATCTCTATTTTACGGGAATAGTGCAAAAGCCATTATCAATCAAAATCTTAATATATACTACATGCATGTTTAGTCGGAATAAGTTATACCTTCTTGCCTTTTCTACTATTTAAAAAGATCTAAAAATTTTGTACTTGTATATTTGGCAGGATAATTTTTAAGAGTTTTTATCTAAACAAAAATTTTATTTTGAAAAGCTACATTGAATAACATTTGAGAAAAGTCTGTAACTTTTAACATTAATTAATCATAACAACTTGTATAACAAATATAACTAAATCAAACAATCAACTTTTTATCAAATACTTAACAATTTTTTCTTTTAAAATCTTTTTAATCATTAAAAGCGAACAATTATTAAAAGTTTTAAAAATATCATTTCATGTCAAATATATCTTACGTATCTTAAAAATTTATAAGCACTGTATATGTTTGGAGATGAGAGTATGAGACCTGCAGCCTAATTCCAAAGGAATTTTCTATTTATTGGAAAGAGGTAAAATATTTTTTATTAATAACCAAAATAAATGTTAAATTTGAATTGAACTCACTAAAGAGTCACCAAAGAAACATATTTGGGGAGTTGTGTTTAACTTAACGGAGATCAATTAATACAAACGGAAGACAAGGGTTAGAATAGCCAAACAATTGAAACGTACAAGTTATTATGCATACTAAACAACCTTTTATTGCTTCTTATTACACCAACATTTTTTCCATCCCTTATGTACCCTTACCATCATTGGTGTTTATAATTTTTTAAGAAATTATTCATAATCTTCTATTTTATATATTCAAATTTTATTAAAATTGTTTTTTTTACAATCTTATAAAACCTTAATCTAATTTTTGAACATCTAAATTTGATTTACTCAAGATAATTGTAATAAAGACATGAATCACTTTACTTCATAGTTAATCGGACATCGTAAACTGCGTGAGAATTATTAAACGGGACCCAAACAGTACTTGTTAATGTCAATGCAAAACAAGTTTAAAAGAACTTACAAATCCTCTTAGAGTTAAAAACATAACACAGAACATTTTGCAAAAAAAAAAAACTTTACACAAAACATTTCTTATAATATCTCATTCACCTCAAGAACAAATGTATACAAAATGATGTTACAGAATAAACAGAACAAAAAACAGGTCTAAACGCTATGTTGGGGTTGGGAAAAAACTCAAAAAAGTGGTCAAACCTTCGCTGCGCGGAACTTTTACGCCACCTGCGTGTAAGATATTTCCAGAGTGGGACCCACCGTGATATGTGGACCCCACTTCCATCCCGCAGCCACCGTCCGAATTGAAATATGGATCCAGACCTTTACACGTCATCGCCTCCGAACCGGAATCTAGACCGGCGGTATCGCCGAGTCGGAAGATACCAAACCGATTTCGTCTCCCTTCTTCGGCTCCCCGAGATTCCTGAACGACAACATCCTCACCGTCTTTTTCCCGGACGCCGACGACGATTCGTCTCCGCCGTTGTGATTGTCGGAAACCACCTTCGGTGACTTCATCGACGGCCACCTCGCAAAGATTGAAAATCCCCACCGGTCCGACTTCGATTCCCCCTCGACCCGGTCCATCCGACGATAAGACCGGCCGGCCCGACTGCTTCCCTCTCCGGTTCGGAAACCCCGTCTAGAGCTGGCATCTCTCGGAAAGTGGTGCACGGAAACACTCTTCGCCCGGTTCAGATAGGCCCGGTTCAGTACCTCTTTCCGAACTTCCTCCGGCAATCTTAGAGTGTACCGGTCCAAGTTTTCTCCCGGCAAAACCAATGAATGCCCGGTCGAGTGCGATCTGAACCTGCTAAACACTTTGGGCCGCTTGATCGAAAATGATTTCGGTAGCCGGTTCGGCACATTGAAGGTCAAATTCGGCCGGTTTACCGATTTGCTTTTTATTGTATTCTCCTCCCGACCTTCTTGTTGTGATTGTGGTTGTGGTTGTGGTTGTGATTGTTGATCACTTACCGCGTCTATATGTATAGAAACATCATCTTGCGCGGGTTCGGCTGCGGGTTGAGGAAGGATCACGGGAATTTGAACCGTGACATCGCCCGGTTGAGGAGTCAGATTGGCTCGACAAACCGGGCAAGTCACGTGCGACGCGAGCCAAGCATCGATGCACTCCGGGTGAAACACGTGATCGCATTTCGGGATCAAACGAAGCGTCTCGTCGTCTTCGAACTCGTTCAGGCACACCGCGCACTCCAGCGCCCCCTTACCGATCTTGTGACCCTTCACCTCCGCGTAGCTGAAGGTCGGGAAGGTCTCGATCACAGCTGCGTCGAGCCCACGCGCCGCCGCACGCCGCATCGACAGTGCGGCCCGGATGCTGTTCCCGGCCGCGGAATCGTTGCAATTCCGGAAGTATATGGCGAAAAAACCGACGAAAAACAAAGCGCCCACGAGCACCACGATGATGACGGCCATCGACGGGCTGAAGTTCTTGTACGAGTACCCGTCATTGGCCTGATTTGACTGAGCGGCGGCGGGTGGAACCGCTGGAGATAGTAAAAGAGAAATCGTAACAAAGATGAAGAAGTTTGATGAAAGGGATCGGATCCCATGTTTTGGTGGGCAAATTCTAGATGAAAAGCTGTAATCTGTAAGGGTTTCCATGGCTCATACTCTATGGTGTTTGAGAGTCTTGAGACAAGAAAAAAGTATACTGTAAATGAAATATTGTTGAGATTATATTATATATACGACTTATGGGTATAGATAGAAAGAAGATTGCCAAAGAGTTAATTGAAAAAGGTGGAAAAACAAATTGAATTATGATGGCAGTACGTTTAATTTGGTAGGTATTGGGGACGGAGTTTTCAAACGTTGACTATACGTACAGTGTATAATGACAAGGCAGATTCTATGGTACTTCAAATGTAGGGGTGGGGAAAAATACCGAAATTACGGTATACCGGACTTACCATATCGAAAAATACCGAATTTATCGAAATGGTTGGTATACCGATACTTTCGGTACGGTATGATACCGTACCGAATTTCTTTGGTATGGTATCGGTATATATTTTGAAAATAAACGGTATACCGGTATACCGTCATACCGTAATTCCAAGCCAATAATTTCTTTCAAATTATAAAAATAACTAGAAACACAACATTAATTCAAGGATAAATGACTTTATATCCATGTTTCTTGAATTATTTATACTTTTTGTTGGCAAGCGGTGTTTTTTAATTATATTTATGTTGTTTAAATTATTTTAGCACAATGTGATGTTATCCTCATATATTATGTGTCGAAACATCTAAATATATTTATAATATTTTTTGTTCAAAGTTGAATAGAACACCAATAGGTTATCATTGGTAATTTACAATTAATTTCATTAATGATTTTAGTATATCATTATTAACACATATTTTCTATATTTTATTTGACATATAATATTTTTTTATGTTAAATCATGATAATTTACTGATACCGTACCTTACCGTACCGAAATTTCAGTACACCGAAACAAGGTATACCGAAATTTCGGTATGGTAACGGTATGTATTTTTGCATACCGAAAATTTACGGTATGGTAAAGGTATGAGCTAAAATATTCGGTATACCGTACCGAACCACCCCTATTCAAATGTATCGTACCTTTGTCCAAATGGACCAATAAGAATGATGCAGTTCAATTATTTAAATCTAAATTAAAAAGCATATAATGATTTGGACCAATCAAATGCATGGTAGGTACGGTACCCCATTTTTTAAATGAGTACCGGAATTGTCACGTAATGACAATGCTTTCTTCATTATTTTTTGGGAAAACTGTCAAATATGTCCTCAAACTTTCATAAAAAAGTCAATTAAATCCTTCTATAGGAGACTCTGTCCGGTCGTCGCGATTTGGGGTGGTTCCCGGTGGAATTTTTTGATGAAATTTTTTGAGCATCTTATTTACCAAGTCTAGTTTACTCATACCAAATTTCGGCTAAAACTTTAATCGGGAGCGCATTCAAATTAATTCGAGAACGTAAAAATGCGCAGTTATGTTAAAGAATTAATTTGAATGTGTTCCCAATTGAATTTTTAGCTGAAATTTGGTATGAGTAAACTAGACTTGGTCAATAAGATGCTTAAAAAATTTCATCAAAAAATTCCACCGAGAACTGCCCCAAATCGCGACGGCCGGACAGAACCTCCTATAGAAGGACTTAATCGACTTTTTTATGAAAGTTCGAGGACCTATTTGACAGTTTTCCCTTATTTTTTCCAATTTGAGACACTTGAGAACAAATTACCAATCATTAATCATTATCACCTCACGTTTTTCTTCCAAAAAAATTATCAGCTCACGTTTAGTAATACACTTAAAATTATCACCCAATTTTGAATTAGTTGAATTTGATGATATTGATAAGATCGTGACTCAAAAGATTGAATCAACCCGATATGTCACCCAATTTTCAATCAGTTGAATTTGCTGATAGGGTCAAATAGGCCCTCAAATTAACGTTTTTTTTAAACCGAGACTAACATATTATTAATTCAAAATGTTGTTTGCCAGTTGGCTTACAATACATTCTCGAATAACATCGTAACTACACTACTATGATCTGAGAGAGATACATGTACTTTAGCAAGATTATGAGCCACACGATTCGCAGACCGTGGACAAAAAGAGATAGAGAAATTACTCTTTGTAGTAACAAGATTTCGAATGTGCTCAAGATTCCGTCACCGCGTTGAACACCTTGTATAATCACCTGTGCATCAGATTCCAGCTCCACTTTCTCCCATCCCTCCGCCATAGCCACAAGAAGCGCCTCTCTTATCCCCATTGCTTCCGCTTCCGTTGGACTCCAATCGGCTCTCACGGACCCGCCACCTGCTTTAACAAAATCCCCTTGATCATTCCTTGTTATCCAGCCCCAAACTCTCCTTCCCCCGAACATCCGTTACTGCATCCACATTCATCTTTAGGTAATCTGCTATCGGCTTTCTCCACCTGTGATTTCCCTTTCCATGGCTGCTGCCCGCCTTCTTCGTGCCCCCTGTGCCTCCCTCCACGCAAGTGTTCAGATTTAACTCACACAATACGAAGAACAATAAGAAAGAATACACGAAATTTGGTAACTCAGTTTGCCACGAATGACTACGTCTGAGGGCACTACCAAGCTAGGATATTTATAAGTCTTTGAAGCCATACCTCTAAAGATTCATTCCCGCTGCCAAGAGCCACTCCCGCTGCCCTCCAAACCTCAACCGCCTTCGAGCAAGTTTTCAGAGCATGCGAATGCTCCGTCGTCTCTTCTCCGTGGGAACAAACCTTGCACATATTTAGGATAGGTACCTAGCTCCCTGCGCTCGAGATTTATAGCCGAAGGAAGAGATCCATCTAACACCTGCCAAATAAAATATTTTACCTTCGGTGGAATTTTTAGTTCCCGCGTATCTTTCCATCCACCCCAACCCCCTGCTTCCACGCCTTGCATAAGAATTTTATAACAACTCTTAAATGAGAAGAGGCCATTATCGTCTTTACTCCACCAAAAACTATCCTTCTTGTCAGTCAGACTGATAGGGATACTGCATATAGTTCTTTTTACTTCTTCATTAAAAATATTAGCTATTCTCTCCACATTCCACTTTTTCCCCATAATATCCCTTAACGCCGCCACATTCATATTGACTATCCCAGCGGGTTTGGGAGATTTTACCTTCCCATCCCCCTGGCCCGGCAACCATGCGCCTGCACAAACTTGTACTTCCCTCCCATTACCTGCTTGCCGTCTAATATTTTCCTTTAAAACGCCTCGAGTTTTAAAAATACTTCTCCAAATATATGACAGGTTACTCCCAAGGGTTGCCTTCAAAAAATCTAAATTTGGAAAATATCTAGCTTTTAGAACTCGACTCATCAAACTGTCGGGATTCGTAATAATTCTCCAACCTTGTTTAGCCAACATTGCTAGATTAAATTCCCTTATTTTTCTGAACCACAGTCCCCCCATACCTTTCGACTTACAAAGCAATTCCCATCTCCTCCACCGTATTCCTCTCTGCTCAAATTTTGTACCCTTCCACTAGAAGCCATTCATAAGTTTTTCCACTTCATCGCATAAGTCCCGTGGTAATAGGAACACATGCATAGCATACGTGGGCATGGCTGGTACCACATCACGTAACATGACAACTCTGCCTGCTTTAGATAAAAACGATTATTCCAGCTTTTTATCCGATTTAAAATTCTATCCCTGATAAATCCCAAGATAGCTATTTGGCTGTGCCTCACCAAAGCTGGCAAACCCAACATTTTTGTTGATTCCCCTCTTGCGGTACGCCGAAAAAGTACAACAGTGAACACGAAAAGGCTCAACCACATTTTGGCTGAAAGTGACTGATGATTTATTAAAATTTATTTCCTTCCCCGAGGACTCCTCATACTAAGCCAAAATATTTTTCACCGTGTTACATTCCTGTCCAGAAGATGTGAAGAATAGAAAACTGTCATCCGCGAAAAATAAGCGAGACACCCGAGGTGCCCCTCTGCAAACCGCAACCCCATGCAAATCCCCCTGTACTCGGCCCTTCTAATTAATGCACTCAGACCTTCAACAACTAATATGAATAAATAAGGAGACAATGGGTAATAGGACCCAAAAGATCCCCATCAAACTGAATGTGACAGTCCTCACACACTCCATGATCACGAGAACCCATCTCTCGCTAAAACCCATTTTAATCAATATACCTTCCAAGAAAGACCAAATAACCCTGTCATACGCTTTACTCATAACCCTGTCATACACAACCTTCTTTACCACTGATCTTCCTCTTGAGATAATGATTAGTCTCAAAGGACACTATTATATTATCAATAATTGACTTCCCAGGCACAAAGGCACTCTGGCATTCTCCAACTAGATTATTAAGAATACCTTTGAGCCTGTTTGCCAGATTTTTGAAAATATTTTGTATACTACATTGCACAACGCAATAGGTCTCCAATCTCCCATACACTCAGTTTATCTTTTTTGGGGATAAGCACAATATTTGTAGTATTAATGTTATCAGCCAGATTACCTGACTCAAACATTGCCGCGCATAAAGACGAGATATCCGGTCCAACCACCTCCCAATAAGCCTGAAAAATGCGCTGTTCATCCAGTCTGAAGCTGGAGCTTTCTCCGGATGCATATCGAAAACTGCCCTCGAACTAACTTAAAAAGTGCAATTCACCCCTTCTTTAGGAGGCTCTGTCCGGCCGTCGCCAATTGGGGCGGTTCCCGGTGGAATTATTTTATGAAATCTTTTGAGCATCTTCTTCATTAAGTCTAGTTTACCCATACCAAATTTCAGATAAATATTCAACCAAGAAGACAGTCAAATGATATTCTGAAATGTACTGCGCTATTTAACTGCGCAATTATTTTCAAAAATTCATATGACTGTCTTTCCGATTGATTTTTTAGCTAAAATTTGGTATGAGTAAACTAGACTTAATGAAGAAAATGCTCAAACAATTGCATCAAAAAATTCTACCGGGAACCGCCCCAATTGGTGACAGCCGGCAGAGCCTCTTAAATAAGGGGTGAATTGCACTTTTTAAGTTAGTTTGAGGGCTTATTTGACCCTTTAGCCTTGATAATAGCATGACTCAAAAGATTGAATATGTTAAATTATGAAAGAATTATACTCTTTGTTTCAAAAAAATTGTAGAAATTTGATTTACACGTATAACATAAAGAAAAAATATATGAAA